AGGAGGCCATTTGCTCCATCAATTCCATCCCTGTCAAAATAATCTGACTACACTAACCCTAGTTTCAGTTCTTGACTCATAGCCCTGGAGAGTATGGCAACATAAGTGAATATCTGAATACTCCTTAAATGTTTTGAGAGTTTCTGATTCAACCATCCTTTCAGGTAGTGAGCTCCAGACTCCCACCATCCTCTGAGTGAAAAACCAACACCATACTTCCTATCTATTCTAGTAACAATGGGTGTGTACTTGATGCTTTCAGGCTGTTCTCTTGTCAATAATTCTCCAGCACTTCAAGACTTGTATCTTGTAACGGCTGTTTGACTTGAGGTAAATGCTTGACTTTGTAATTTGATGTCACTGATGTGGAGAAGACTCCCAGAGCATGTTGAGCTGTTGCTTCCATTGAGTGTGGAAGATTCTTCATGTTCCCAGCACCCTGATTTTCATCACTGCCAGCTCTGCTCGTGGCAGCTTCTCTGAAATGTACACTTGCTTCCCTTGTTTGCATACCATATCTAGACAATATCTTTACAAATGAAGAAATATTCTTTGCAGACACTTTGGAACAAAGAGAAACAGTTCGAGGAAGATATGACTTGTGGCCAGTCTCAAATTTTCTCTCTTGCAAAGGGGTATTGATTAAAATGCTCACAAAGACAATAGTCAGTTAGCCTTTGTCTGAGTACAATGCCATTCAGTTTGCATTAATGCCCTGAATGCAAATGTTACTGGTTGTCCTTACTAATTAGTGATTGCTACAACTCCTGGCCCACTGGCATCACTCTGCAAGGTGACCCCAGCACTGGCATCGTCATTAATAGTGTGCAGAGCTGGATGAACACAGCAGGCCCAGCAGCATCATAGGAGCAGGAAAGGCTGATGTTTCGGGCCTAGACCCTTCATCAGAAAAAGCTTTTTCTGATGAAGGGTCTAGGCCTGAAATGTCAGCCTCTCTGCTCCTATGATGCTGCTTGGCCTGCTGTGTTCATCCAGCTCTGCACCTTGTTGTGTCGGATTCTCCAGCATCTGCAGTTCCTACTATCTCGTCATTAATAGTGGTTTGATTATAGTGAAAGCTGCTTCTTGCTCTATGTCAAAATATTACTACATCCTTAGCAATGAGCTTACATGGGTGTTCACACTGTCAACTCAAGAACTTTGCTAAACGGTTGATGAATCTAGCAATCATTGTGCTGCTTTCACTGTGTTTCTTTCACAGCTTGCACCTTATCAGGATCTGGGTAAGGTCCTTTCATTGTTGGTACATTACCCAAATACTTGACTTTAGGCATCTACAATTACATACTCTTTTTCAGCTTCAGGTTTATCTTGTGAGCTCCTTTTAGCAGTTGCACTAGATTGTGTCATGGACTGACTTGGCTTCTTTCATTGAACATCCACATTCACTGATTAGTGCAGAATTCAAGACAGGTTACGCTTCAGGAAGATCACTTGTGCTGTCTGCATTCGTATTCTTTTAGCAGTAAAGGTAAACTCGCCACAGTCCCAGTAGACCATGAGGCTGCTCTCCCTAATACACAGAGACAACTGATGGTGCTTTAACCTGAGGGTCACCACATCTCAGGCGAGAGGAGAGATTGAGAAAGTGGGACCTTCACGTTGACTCAGTCGGTGCAGCAATTGAACTGTGTCAGCATTACTCAACAACACAGCTCAGCTGTCCAGCCAACTGAGCTACACCCCCTTCTAATGGAAATGCCAAATGATGTATGAAACTATCTTTACTTCCTGAATGATGCCCAGAACATAGTTGGAAAACTGTTGCTTTCATTCAGTTTTACTCAACAATTACTATCCTTCACATGGAGGGAAGTACAGCCATTTCCTTCAGCAGGCTGTGGCAAAATTTCTTCAGTTATTGGTAAGGGGTAGAGAGATCTCTTTGAAGATTTATTGAAAACTCTCAGTTTTTAAGAAGTGTTCCGAGGAAGGGTCACTTGGCCTGAAATGTTAACTCTGCTCTCTCTCTGCAGATGTTGCCAGACCTGCTGAGCTTTCATAGAAATTTCTAGTTTGTTTCAGTTTTCTGGGATTTTTTTTTCCCATTGTTACCATTTTAATAATCTAATCTGTAGGAGTTGCCAAATTTTTGATTACTCCCATCTTTTCCAGCGTTTCTATATTGTCTGTCTTTCAGGCTGGATGTGAGGGCCACTGGAATTACAGCAGACCATTTGGACTGGAGACCACACCTCCCTACCCTCCCCCCACCCACAATCCTTCCTTAACCAGTTGCTTATTTTTTGATATCAGTCCGAAGCATTTGCCCCACCTTCGCCCCACCTTCCATCACCCACGTGACAAAGTGGCTCATTTCCAACCAATCTGTGTACCTTGGAATTTACCAGCACTTGCACACTTTCATTACGAAGGCTGTAGATAGCCAGTATTTTCCTCGAACTTGTCCAAAAGATTCTGGACTAGTGTAGTTCTGCCTCAGTGCATGTCGTTCTTCAGCTATCATTGGTCTCTCAGGTGGGCTGAACAGCAGGTCATGCGAGTGCCTCTATCACATTCCCCTGCTCTCGGACTATATTTCCCCAATGGTTGGTACCATACGGTTGAGCCCAATGTTCACGGGGTGAGTTACACCCACTGTCACTATCCACCTATACATCTTCCCTAAGTTCAGTCAGAGAGAGCCTCGTCTATGGTCATAAACTGTGGCTCTGGTGCATGTATGTCTTCATTCCTCATCTTTCAGTCAGTAATTTGCTGCATCTGTTTGCTCAATTTACAGTAGCTTCTACCTAGAACCATTTTATTAAGTTTCCCATCAGGCTCTTTTACACCTTTGGTAGATCCCTTAGGCTCCAGCCTGTCTCCATCATCATAGTTACTACCCTTGCAGGAGGGTCAACTTTAGAAATGCCCTCGTTTGCATATCTTCTCATGTCTTCTCCCTATCCCTAAGGCTGCCCCCACCCTGGTCCTGTCTCAAAGTAACTCCTGCCCCTCTCTCACACAATGGATCTTTATCTAGCCATCAGTAATTCTGACCTCCCTCCTTGCTACTGGGGTTAACCCACCCTATGGTTGGTTCTCGTTTCATCCACTGCCTCCAAGTTCAATCCTAGTCAACTGCTAGCCTGGTCACCAGACTACACGCTACTCTGTGGGTGGTGAGCAAAGATAGTCACCTGCTGGTCTGCTCATCTAATGTTCTGGCTAAGCACCTCGCTGCACAAAATGTGGCATTCGCAAAGAAGGTTATCATGAGGTGGACAGCCACCTTACAATGCAGACAAGCATCAAATTCTTGCACCAACCAAGGTTACCACAAAGAATTCTTCTTTGCAATCTCCCACGTGAGGCGTGGCGACCCTCAGGTTGAACAATCACCAGCCATCACACTCTCTCTCTCTCTCTTTCTCTAACGAGAGCACTACCCTGTGGCCTGTTAAGACTATGGTGACTTTACCTTCGCTTTATTCTCAAATGATACTGGAAACAGCCAGTCACTGGATCACACAATTAAAAGTTTATTTACAAATGCAGATGGGGGAGAACAGATCTCCTGGACAAAAACAGAAACTGCTGGAGAAACTCAGCAAGTCTGGCAGCATCTGTGGAGAGAAAGCAGTCAACATTGACCCATTTATCAAAGGGAAGGCCTTTGGGAGTTTGCTTCTTGATCCTAGTTCGGGTTACATTTTACATACCTTCGATCATATTGGTTATCTAAGACAATTGGGCTATTGTAGGCGCACAGGCAATAAAACAAATCACAGTACTTCGTAGGTCTTTATGAAACAAATGAGTCTCTGGTTGACTGTAACCTTTGTAAAATTAAACAATTCTTTCCCAGCATGCATGCATGCATTCCACATGTATCCTTTGCCAGAAGTTCAAGGTCCTGACAAGGCCCATTTGACAGCACCATTGTTTGGTGTTTGATCGCCCACCCTTATCAGTATCTAGCTATTCTTTTAACCCCATGCCAAACTTATGTAAATTTAGCACCATCATGGTTTGTGTGGATGTGCATGTGAAATAGCTTCACCTCAATTTGTCTATTACCATCGACCCTTAAAAGATAGTACCTAGCATTCACAGTCATTATAATTATACTCCTTCTGCGATACAAGTAATTTCCTTTTCTTTGTTCATAAATACCAATGTTCAGATTCAGTGCAGGTTAACTCTCTTGCCTCTGGCTGTGTTCCTTAGGCATGTGAGCTGCTAAATATCTGTGCACATTTGTATTTTCCTTCAGGCTTCAAGCACTTTTCTTAAAAATAGTCTTAGTAGTAGGGAGTGACTGCATGCAACTTGTCTGAAGGCTCACAGATGTAAAAGTCATAGCATATTTTTCAAAAAAAAATATTCACATGGAATGACAGCTGACCTCAGGCCACCAGTTTCCATTCAAACAGGCATTGTTTACGTACCATAAAAAGGAGATGCTGTGCGAGAGAGAAAATCATGCAAGCTTATTTAATTAATACACGATGCACATCACAACTATTTCAACCTGCTTCTCTTCATTCTCAACCAATATGGGTTTTTCTATTCATGGACGTGGGCAGCATCAGCTAGGCCAGAATTTATTGTCCATTCCTTCTTGCTCAGAGAGCAGTGAAGAAGCAACCACATTGCTGAGAGTCTGGAGTGACATGTCGGCCAAACTCCCTTGCCACAAAAAAGCAGCCCTGATCTAATTCCAGATTGAGTCTGAATTCAAATCTGATCATCTATCATGGTGAGATTTTCACAAGACAAGATTGATGTTCTGGTCTACTAGTCCTGTGACAAATTAATTTGTGGCACACTAGGGAGCCAGATCAAAACAGATATGAATTTTGGAAGACGGCAGAGAATTTCATCCAACGTTGCATCAGTAAAACAATTCTGTTTCAGTACTCATGTGAAAGGAACAGACTTTAGTATGTCAAAATGTTGACTGACCAAATAGCTGACCTTTGGTTTGCATTAGAGCCCAATTATTACCAAGATAAACCAACCAAGCCATGTGCTACTTTGGAGACAATGCCACACAATAATGTAACATTTTCTTTATTGCATTAACGATGTATAAAGTATCATCTTTAATACTTTTAATGTTAAAATAATTAGAAAAGCATTTTCAGTGAATTATAGTACAGTTTATCAAAATGTTTCATTCCGCTTCTTTGGGTTGTTTACCCCCTGGAAAAACATGGTCATGAAATCATTTCCAAACATAGCTTTGTAAAACAATTCTGCAGACTTTTTGTTGTTTAAAAAGATTGAAATTTACAGCATACAGTGTAGTTTCAAAAGAACCCCTTAAAATAACCAAATTGAATGTATAAAGGAATTGTATTGATTTACACAAAATCATTAGATGAATAAATTAACAGAAAAATAAATCAAAAAAAAAAAATCGGCAATTTCTCCTAGTCACCCTCTCGCTAATTTCCTGCACAATAAAAAAGGTTAAATACATAAGTATTCAGTGTATGGTGCAATTTCACATTTGTGAAGATTACTACTGTGTTGTGAATTGGTTAGTTTCCAATAATGAACTATAGTAAGTTTTAGCTTTGGCTACAAAACACTTTACAAAAGCAATGAGACCATTTTTGAACATGGGTAAATGTTGCCTACAGCATGGAATGAACACAACACTAGTAACAGCTACTCCACTTGCACAGAAGTGATTTCTGTTTGTTAGAGGAGTTAGCATGGATTGTTGAATAGTGGCAGTGTAGGATATGTAAGAGACCACGAGAATGCACCCTGCAATTTGTAAGCTACTCTTTCTACATTTCATTGTTTATGCACATATACACAGAGTTCATTTGGTTTTCTTTAAAAATCAATTTTTAGCTGGCTGAACTAAGCAGTACACTGTTTCACAAGAAGATTAAACTGGTGTTCTCTAACAGAACTCTACGTACTGAGCTTTATTTAATGACACTGTTCAGTATCAATTACATAGATTTTTTAAGACATCATTCATATGAAGGAGGAAGCACAACAGCCTTTTCAAGTTAGAACATTCCTAATAATTGTAAAATGAAACATATTCTGAAATTACTTTTCAATTTTATGGTCAGGTTTACATTGTTTCAGTCATATAATAGTGATTCAAATGTCATGCATTTAACTGCAATGGGAAAGGAATATAGTTTATTTCATATCCACTTGATGCTAGCACATTAATGCGCAAAACTATGAAGAAGCCAAGTCATGGGACCCCATATCACTTTGGAATAGTGTACACCATTTAAAGTGAAAAACTTCGTGTAAAAGTATTTGGCAAATATTTTAAGTGCTAACATTCAAAGAAAATGTTTGAGGATAGGAAACGAAGGTAGCTGTAGCTTATTTTTTTAAAAAAGATATTATAAGCTAATGATGCAACAACGCATTTCAGCACAATTCACAATACATCATTTGACTAACATTTTCATGAAGATCCTGACCCTTTAACTTGTGAAACCAAAAGGTGTGGGTGAGCAGGTGCACTTTCCAGATTTTAGCCTATTCTACATTTCCACAAGTATAGAAAGAAAAGGCGAGTTTAAAATCTGAAAAGCTGACAACTTTTTAATATTCCCTTTTCAAAGCATTGCTCTGCAGTTAAAAATATGCCAACATAACTAGGATCTTGCTTAGGTCTCAATGCTATATTACAACATCTAAGAAACACTTGCATGGGATATACGTAAGCAAGTCAAATTCCAAGATTTTCTTAAACGAGGGCTCGAGGAGCAGGGTGATGTGTACATGACAATCTTTCTTGGATAGTCTTCACAAACCCTAGCTGATGCCCCTCTATATGTTCAATCCTTAAACTTAAATCACCTGTCCTGATTATAGGCACATTACTGCGTACAGCAACAATCTTTGAAAACAATTACTCCAAAATCACTTCCATTATGCATGTCACAGAATTGGGGGAACTAAAGGATAACAAAGAAGCATTGCCTGTGAACCTCAGCTACTTAAATATCAGAGCTTTTGTGCGAGAAACTTAGAACACGTTATCAACTAATAGCAGCCCTGTGGAAGACCAAAATAGTGAAAGCAGCTTTTCTTTTGTGACAGAAGGTGGAAAATACACCCTCTTTGAGAACTCACTCAACCTAAAGCACTAACTACAGTTTATATTAGACCACTTCATTTTACAACGATCATCCGATATACATAAAATAGGGAATCAACGGAATTTGGTAAGCAATTTTCTTTTGGAAGGCACCTCAGTAAGGCTGTAAAGGCTTTTCATATTAATGCAATTTAACTAAGTTATTTCAAAAGAAAAAATATTATTGCTGTTGTTCCAGTAGCAGAAAGAAATTTTTCTGTATATAGTCAGAAAGTTATGCTTTCATTCAAATCAAACTCAGGCAAATTGACGGGCCATCAGGGTAAAAATCAAGTAGCTCTCGTGATCCTTGAAACTCAAACCGTTTCATCCTTTGTGTGCTTATTTTGTTTTTGATCAATGGACATGTGAAACACACTAAATCCCAGGACTCATTATCTCCTACTTCCAGCCGCTGCAGTGGCGTTATGAGAACGCTGTCCTGTGCTAATCATTTAGGAGTAGAAAGTAAGAACACTCTGGTGGTTGCCTCGCACAAGTAAGATCGGTGGCAAATCCTTTGAGAGAGTTTCAATCCAGGCCATGTACAGTGCACTTGATACAGCACCTTTTCGTGCCACTGGCAAACTCCTGCAAAAGAACAAAATCTACCATCAGCATAGCCCATAATAAATTGTCTGGAAACTATTCTTGCTTGTTGGACATGCCTGTTGATAATGGTCAAATACTAATTAGATGGCAATTAAGACCTAGTATATTGTTAAAGTCCTCCAGATTCACCTCACAGCAGAAATGGTGATGGCTTTTTACAAAAAAGGGCTTTTGATTATTTATAATTATCACATGAACCAAGATACAGTGAAAAGTACTGCTTTGCATGCCAGCCAGATAAATCATACCTTACATACTTACATCAGGGTAATAGAACAGAATGCAGAATATAGCGTTACAGAGAAGATTCAGAGAAAGATCAACATTCATGAGAAGTTTGCTCATAAGTCTGATAACAGCAGGAAAGAAGCTGTCCTTGAATCCATTGGGACGTGTTTTCAAACTTTTGTATCTTCTGCCCAATGGAAGAGGGTGGAAGAGAGTATACCTGGCGTGGGAGGGGTCTTTGATTACAGGGCCCGATTTCCTGAGGGAACAGGAAGTACAGATGGATTCGATGGAAAGGAGGCTGGTTTGTGTGATGGATTGGGCTGCATTCACAACTCTCCAGTTTCTTGGGTAGTGTCCTACAGTAGAACAATGAACGGGGTGGGGGGTGGTCAAGGGATCTCATTGAAACTTAGAGTACAGAGAGATGTGGATAGAGTGGCCATAGAGAAGATCTTTCCACCAGTAGGAGAGACTGGAATCTGAGGGCACAGCTCAGAGTGAAGGGTCTATCCTTTAGAATTGAGATGAGGAGGAATTTCTTCAGCCACAGGGCAGTGACTTTGTGGAACTCATTGCCACAGAAGGCTGTGGAGGGCATGTCATTTGGTAAAGGGATCAAGGGTTATGGGGAGATGGCAGGAGAACAGGGTTGAGAAACATATCAGCCATAATTGAATGGCACAGCAGACACAATGGGCTGAATGGACCAATTCTGCCCCTATATCTTATAGTCTTATTATACTGGTAGAGTTCGCTTTCTCAGCTCACCCGTTTCTGAAACCTATGTTCATGATACCAATTCACTCTTAGCTGTTCTCCCAAGTTCTACCCTCTACAAAACAAAGGTTATCCGAAAGTACTGCAACCTGTACAACAACATGCACCATGTCCCATTCTTCGTGGCTCACACCCACTGAGCTGCTCAAGCAGTGCTTCATTTTAATATCCTGGCTTTCAAATCCCTCCATGACCTCACCTTGCCCCATCACAGTAATCTTCTCAAACCCCACAGCCCATCAATAAATCCTCTTGGCTGGCCTCCTGAACATCTGATTTTTGTTACTGTCTCATTCGTGGCCATTCCTTCAGATGGAATATCCTCCCTAAATCTCAGAGTCTCTCTACCCCACTCACTAGAGTTAATTTTGGGTCAAATAACCAAAAGTGTCCCTATGTGGCTTGTTGTTTTATTTTATAATGCTCCTGAGAACTGCCTGGAATGTTAATATTAAATATTAAGCAGCTGAAGCTGAAAAGAGAGCAAGTAAAGGGATGGATCTTACATTAAATCAAGAAAAGGTGGGAAGAGCAGGAAGCAGATTGGAAGGTTAGAGGGTGAAGTGAGATTAGTGATCAGAGATGTCACAGAACAAAAGCCAGAGCGGTAATGGTTTTCTTGAGGTCTACAGCATGGAAACAGGCCCTTCGGTCCAACTTGCCCATGCCGCCCAATTTTCACAATTAATCTAGTCCCATTCATCTGCATTTGGTCCATACCCTTTCATACCTATCTCATCCACGTACCTCTCTAAATGTTTCTTAAATGATGAAATTGTACTGGCTTCCACCACTAACTCTGGTACCTGTTCCAGTCACTCACCACCCTCTGTGAAGCAATCACCCCTCTGGACCCTTTTGTACCTCTCCCCTTTCATCTTAAACCTATGCCCTCCAGTTTTAGGCTCCCCTACCACAGGGGAAAAACTGTCGACTATCTACCTTATCAATGGTCTCATTTTATATACCTCTGAGTTCACCCCTCAGTCTCCTACGGTCCAGGGAATAACGTCCCAGCCTGTCCAGCCTCTCCTCATAACTCAAGCCTTCCAGTCCAGGTAGCATACTAGTAAATGATTTCTGCACTCTTTCTAGTGTAACAATATCCCTTCTATAATAGGGTGACCAGAACTGCACACAGCACCCCAACTGTGGCCTCACCAACATCTTGTACAGCTGCAACAAGATGTCCCAACCCCTGTACTCCACACTTTGACCGATGAAAGCTAGAAGTGGAATGCTTCCTTCACCGCCCTGTCCACCTGTGACTCCACTTTCAAGGAGCTGTGAACCTGTAACCTTGGTTCTCTTTGTTCTAGACACAACACAGTCAATGGTAGGGCCCTGGGGAAAGTCCTGCCCTGGCTTGCCTTACCAAAATGGAACACCTCAAATTTATCGGAATTAAACCCCATCTACCATTCCTCAGCCCACTGGCCCAAGATATCGCTGCATTCCCAGATAACCTCCTTCACTGTCCACTGTACCACCAATCTTGGTGTCATCCACAAACTTACTAACCATCCCTCCTAAATTCTCATCTAAATTGTTTATACGGTTGGTTCTGCTATAACACGATAGTTGCATTCCTGTGCAACATCATGTTTATAGAAAATCACCCTATAGGAATAATGGGGCCTACGGCAAAAGTGGGGTTAGGGCAGACCACCAAAAAACAAAAATCACTCAATCTCTCAAAAATTATTCAAAAGCCTAAAACAAAGGATAGCACAATTTGAATAGATTTTTAATTCATATCTAATAATGAAATAAAAATAAATTTAACACTTCACCTTGAAAAACTGTCAAGATGACTTGATGGGGGAGGAGGTTGTACCATACCTCTCAGAGAAAGCACTTCAAAACAAAGCCCACAAAATGATCATGTGATGCCAGCGTGGAGACTCTGTCAGTGCCAACATTGTACATATTCATGACAAATGCAGTGAAACCATCATGTGACATCAACACATACTCCTCTGGGCACTGATGTGTTGGCTATAATGCAATTCTAAGTTCACATTTTAGAAATAGAGTTCCTATATTTACCAGTTCTGAGTTTATGAGTTTATTGATTTAGGAGTTCTGAGGAAGGGTCACCGGACCCGAAATGTTAACTGTTTTTTCCTTCACAGATGCTGCCAGATCTGCTGAGCTTTTCCAGCAACTTAGTTTTTGTCCCATATTTACCAGTTGCGTTACAGCCAATTCGCATTGCCAGAACACGTGTTATAGCAGAACCGACTGTACAAATGACCTACAACACTGAGCACAGCACCGAACCCTGTGCCACACTGCTGGTCACAGGCCTCCAAGTCTGAAAAACAACCCTCTGCCTTCTACTGTCAAGCAAATTTTGTACCCAATTGGCTAGCTCCCCGTGGATCCCATGAGACTTAACCTTACTCAACCTACCACGAAGTACCCTGTCAAAGACCGTGCTAAAGTCCATGTAGACAACATCTACTGCACTGCTCTGATCTATTTTCTTGGTCACTCCTTGAAAAAACTCAAATTCATGAGACACAATTTCCCACATGGAGTCCTTGCTCCTCCAAATGCTTGTAGATCCTGGTGTCTGAGAATTCCCTCCAACAATGCACCCACCAGAACTTAAGCTCTGTAGTTCCCAGGCATTTCCCTGCAGCCTTGCTTAAATAATGGGAAAACATTATCTACCCTCCAATCTTCGGGCACTTCACCTGTGGCTGTTGATGATACAAATATCTCTGCTAGGGGCCCCACAATTTCCTCACTAGCTTCCCATAAGCTTGTAGGATACATTTCGTCAGATTCCAGGGATTTATCTACCTTAATGCATTTTAAGACTTCCAGCACTTCCTCTTCTGTAATGTGGATACACTTCAAGACACCACTATTTATTTCCCCAAGTTCCTTAGCATCCATACCTTTCTCAATGGTAAATAATTGTAATATTAATTTAGGATTTCACGCATCCCTTGTGGGTCTGCATGTAGATGACCTTGTTGCTCTTTATGAGGCCCTATTCTCTCCCTAGTTATTCTTTTGCACTTTATGTACTTGTAGAATCTATTTGGATTCTCCTTTACTTAATCTTCCAAAGCCATCTCATGTCTCCTCTTAGCCCTGCTGATTTCTCGCTTAAGTGTACTCCAATACCTTCTACATACAAGAAATTCACTTGATCCCAGCTGCCTATACATGTCACAGGCCTCCTCCTTTTTCAAGGCCAGGGCCTTGATAACTCTCCTGCCAGACTCACCCTTCACTCTAACAGGAACACGCTGGTGCTGAACTCTCTAACTCACTTTTGACAGCCTCCCACTTACCAGGCGTCCTTTTGCCTGCAAATCGCCTCCTCCAATTAACTTTTCCAAGTTCCTGTCTAAGACCATCTAAGTTGGCCTTGCCCCAATTTAGAAATTTAACCCGTGGATCATACCTATCCTCTTCCATAGTTATTTTATAACTAATGGAATTAGTGTTCGCTGACTAACACTTCCGTCATTTGCCCTGCTTTATTTCCCAACAGAACAATTTTTGCCCCTTCTCTAGTAAGGCCATCTACATACTGCATAAGAAATTCTTTCCGAACACACTTAAGTTCTCTCCATCTGAGCCCTTAACACTATGGCAGTCCCAGTCAGTGTTAGGAAAGTTAAATTCCCCTACTATTACAACTCTATTATTCTTGCAGCTATCTGCGATCTTTTTACATATTTGCTCCTCAATCTCCCACTGACGATTGGGAGGCCTATCAACGTGATCTGCCCCTTTTTATTTCTCAGTTCTATCCATCCAGGCTCAGTGAACGAACCCTCAAGAATGTCTTCTCTCAGTACCACAGTGATATTCACCCTAATCAAAAACGCAACTCATCCACCTCTCTTACCTCCCCTTCTATCCTTCCATTAGGATCTGTACCCTGGAACATTGAGCTGCCAGCCCTGTCCCTCCATCAGCCATGTTTCTGCAATATCCATAATATTGCAGTCCCACATACCCATCCATGCCCCAAGTTCATTTGCCTTACCGGTCAGGTCTCTGGGATTGAAATAAATGCAGTTTAACCCAGACTTCCCTTGCTTCCTACTATGTTTTTGCCTGCCCTGTCTAGTACTGGGATTATCAACACTGCCTTTATGCTTTAACTCATTCTCATTAAGCTCTGGAATCTCCTGAACCTTCTCTTTCATCTCCCTACTGTTTTGGATCCCACCGACCTCCCAGACTAGTTTAAACCTTCCCATGTGGCTCTAGCAAATCTCCTCACGAGGATATTTGTCCTCCTCCAGTTCAGGTACAACCCTTCCCTCTTGTACAGGTTGCCTCTGCCCCAGAAGAGATCCCAATGATCCAAGAATCTGAATCCCTGTCCCCGCACCAGCTCTCAAGCCAAGAACTCATCTGCTAAATAGGTAATAATAACAGGAAGGTAAAATCAAGAAAAATAAACATTGGGGGAAGCATGGAGAACAGCAATCATGCTCTGAAGAAGTTGTTAGACTCAACATGCAGTCCAGAAGGTTGCAAAGTGCATACCAGAAAATGATGTGCTGTTCCTCCCAGGAAAAACTTGCACTGGGCTCTTCTGTAACACTGCAGCAGACTGAAGACTAATGTGAGCACGAGAGCAAGAGGGTACACATCAGAATGGAAAGTCAGGATCATGTTGGAGAAGTGAATGGGAATATTTTGTAAAGTGGTCACCCAGCCTGCGGTTGGTGCCCACACCGTAGAGAGGACCTCTTTGGTGAGAAACAGATGCAATGGACCAGATTGAAAGAATCACAAATAAATCATTGCTTCGCCTGGCAGGAGAGCATGAGGGGCCTTGGACAATCTGTCCAACACTGACTTTCTCAATCACTGTTTTTATTTCAGCTTCCCAGCACCCAGTTTTGTTTTGCTTTTGTAATAGACTATTTTGTAAAGTACTAACCTTAAGGAGATTTCAGAATTTGGTTACTCAAATGAAGCACTAAACGTTGATCAGAAAACATTTGGTAACGAACCCTTTCTTGACTGTATTAACATTTCACGTACCACTGCTACACACATCATGAAATACTTTAATGGAAAGAGAAAAATAACAATTATGCTCTCTCGTTCTGCCTCATTCTGCTGGTTTATTAAAGATTTAATTATGTTATTTTGTAAATTCATTTTCAGTGCACATTGGAACTGCACCCTAACCAGCAGAACTTGCAGGGCATTTTGGGCCAATGTCTTACTTGTTGAAAGTGAAAACACTGCACCCAAGTAAAAATATCTTGTAGGTTGAAAAATGCTGGAGGAGGAGTATCATTCCTGAAGGCAAAATGGATTCTCAACTCTCAAAAATGGAACTTTGTGAACATCTAAGAGCAAAAACAAAACAAAGCTGTAGAGAAAGGACAGGTAAGTGGAACAAGCACAGTTGGTCTTGCAGAAACCCAGCAGGGAGCGTGCTACAACAATTCAACGAAACCCTTCCCAGATTTGGGTCAAATTTTTGAGAAGGCAGTGGAATCAAGGGACTTGAATTTACGTAGTGCCTTTCTTGACCACCCAAAGTGGTTTTCACAATCAATGGGTTGCAGGATAAGTGTTAGAGTAATTTTAAACCCCACCACCCTGCCCTCAAAACACAAGCAAAAATGTAAAAAGAAATCAAACAAAAACCTAATCCATTCACTCATGGTTTTGAAGAAAGTGGGAAAACAGTCAAGTGCCTAATCTGCTCTTAGGAGACAAGATGAGTCACAAATCTTTTAAGGCAGCTGCATGCTTATATATTATTTTTAAAAACATTTGTTGTTAAAAATCTGCATTAGCAGGTAAAACGAGATAAGTGGGAAAATCCACTGGGTACCTTTACAACATTGGCCACAAGTCACAGCAGCAGAGGAGATTCCAACAAATAAACCGTACTAATCTGTAAATAACCACTTCCCATTCGCCGCTGCACACCCCCACAATCTTGCAATGTCCCCAAACCCCCATTATTGATCCATCTCCAACTATCCTCTGGCAATTCCCAATCTCCTCTTTGATCTCATCGACCTTCTCTACTCCTCAGCTACCGATCATTCTGGAACACTGCCAGTCCAACAGTCAGCTCATACCAGTCACCGAAAACTATTTCAAAATAAAACAGTGCACACACCAGGAACCAGGACTCCAGGGCGTTTGGGGAAAAAATAAATCCATTCTTCTGGATTTCCCAACTAAAATCATAATTCACCAGCCTGCAGCAAAATCCCACCCCAATGCATGCACACTGCTTACTTTTTTACTCAAAAACACCGGAGCAGAATTGCTATAGGTGTCAGTTCAAACTAATTGAACAAAAAGATGGCATCTGTGCTTAGCTATGCTAACAAGTTATACCAAGTGGATTTAGAGTCAGAATTATAGAGTGGTATAGCACAGGAACAGACCCTTTGGTCCAACTTGTCCATGCCGACCAGATATCCTAAATTAATCTAGTCCCATTTGCCAGCATTTGGCCCATAACCCTCTAAACTCTTCCTGTTCATACCTATCCAGATGCCTTTTAAATGCTGTAATTATACCAGCCTCCTCCACTTCCTCTGGACGTTCATTCCATACACTCATGACCCTCTGCATGAAAATATTTCCCCTTAGGTCCCTTTTAAATTTTTCCCCTCTCACCTTAAACCTATGCTGTCTAGTTTTGGACACCCCTACCCACCCCAGGGAAAAGACCTTGACTATACACCCTATCCATGCCTCAATTTTTCAAACCTTTATTGCATCACCACTCAGCATCCGACGTTCCAGAGAAAAGAGCCCCAGCCTATTCTTTAACATACACCTTGGAACAGTTAATTAGAGGCATAGAGTCCTACAGCACAGAGTCAGGCCCTTCGGCCCAAATGGGTCCATGCCAACCAAAATGTCCATCCACGCTAAGCCCTTTTCCCTGCACTTGGCCCATATCCTTCTAAACCTTTCCTGTCCATGTATTCCTCCAAATGCCATTTGAATGTTGTTAATGTAAGTTATTCCTCAGATGAAATGGATGAACTCTCCCACGATTCGTTCAGGAGGCTTCAGCATTTGTTCCACTTAAACACCGGTTACAAGAGCTGGGTACATCATTGCGCAAGTTCATGCTTTGGTTTTCTTTTGCCCATCAGTTAATGGGCTAGAAGTTCTGGGTAACTTTTGTCCAAATGTGTGAAAAGCACTTCTGCCCAGCCCTGGCTCTTATGGGGATATATTACTGGTTTGGTTTTTGAAAGGGTAAATTACAACAAACACCCTAATTCCCAGGTATATACGATTTCCACAAGAGCAACTTTCTGCAGAATTTGGAAATTTGCAATAACAGAAAACACTGGCATCAACATGAAACATGCCCTCTGTTTTTCTCTCTCAACAGTTGCTGTCTCAGCCTGCAAAGGTCCAGCATTTGCTGTTTTTCATAATATTTCAGCTCTTGTAAGTAGTAAGAAAGAGGATGGCACAGTTTATTTTGAAAGTTTATCTTTTACATAAAATTGAATGCAGAGTCATTAATACAGCTCAAAGCTCACGATTGTCAGTGACAAATTTAAATATTTCTGACATACTGAACTTGGTCACAATATCAATTGGCACAGTGACATTTCAGAGGAGAGATGCGGACCCAGTCTGATCAGTCTGGGTCGGCAACTATGGCCCTAGGCAAAATGCACAGGATACTTCGGGTGGGAAATCAAAAACTGTTTCAGCAAGGCTTTTACTTTCTTTAGAAATAACCCTAATAAAAAGGAGATTCTAAGGGAGTGTCTAGGTGTTTCCAACATCGGGTTTCTGGTCACTTTGGAGTGAAACATCCCATACACCAATCAATCCTGCAAACTCAGTATCGCACAATTTTACAGCATGCATTGTTAGCCAGTAATTATTTACAAGTTACTTTTTTTGTGAATTTACTTACATGACGATGAGGTTAGCAGTGCTCGAGTTCTCCCTTAGCAATTCATTCAATCTGATCTGTCGATATGTCTAAAATGGAAATAATAATTAGTTTAAAACGTGTGAGATTTTAACACAAAGTACAATTATTTGAGTGGATCTCTTTTCCACTGAGCCTGGATTGCTGGAAGCATTCATTCATCCAACATAATTCAGAAAATAGACACAAAAAAGAACTTTAAGGAAATATGCTAAATCTGGAGCAACATGTTTACATCATGAGAAATTCAAGAAGCCCGTGCGATGATATTGCATATTAGGATGGCACGGTGGCTCAGTAGTTAGCACTACTGCCTCACAGCGCCAGTGACCCGGGTTCAATTTCACTCTCGGGGGTCTTCTGTGCAAAAACTCCACACAGTTCTCCCAGTGTGTGTGGGTTTCCTCCAGTTTCCTCTCACAGTCCAAAGATGTACAGGCTAGGTGGATTAGCCATGGAAAATGCAGAGTTACACAGGGATAGGGGAGGGGGAAGAGTCTGGGTTGGATGCTTTTCGGGGGTGGGGGGGTTGTGGACTGGTCAGGCTGAATGGCTTGCTTCCACACTGTAGATCTGCTCCTATGATGCTGCTTGGCCTGCTGTGTTCATCCAGCCCTGCACCTTGTTGTCAGGGATTCTATGATGTCGTCTTTTACTATCAGTCTGATCTTCCTTACGTATGCGGCACAACAATACTCAACTAATGTGTTACACAAACTATTGTAGTAATCAGCTGCAGATTTTCTCCAAATCCCACAATAATTATTTGAAACAGCTGCGAACGTCCTTGCATGATCGGATCCAAGTTTGCTTCAAGCTCACAAAAAGATGCTGGGACAAATAGAGAACTTTGGAAGTATCTTCGGCCAAAACAACTTCTGTTTAAAACTAACCTACAACACAGGGATAGTTCTCCTAGCACTTTCAATGTTGAAAGACCTTAGCAAGAATTGCACATCAAACTGATATTCAATACATTGAGACATGTAATGAATTGGATACCTAACTTTTATCAGTTTACACATTTTTGTACAACACAGATTTATTACTTAACAAATAAGCATTTTTGTGTTTTTTTGGACAGAATATTTAATTATGATTTGACATCTGACATTTGACAGGGGTGGCACGGTGGCTTAGTGGTTAGCACTGCTGCCTCACAGCGCCAGGGATCCAGGTTCAATTCCACCCTCGGGCGACTGTCTGTGTGGAGTTCGCAGATTCTCCTTGTGTCTGCATGGATTTCCTCCGGGTGCTCCGAGTTCCTCCCGCAGACCATAGGTGGGTTGGCCATGCTTAAATTGCCCAGTGTTCAGGGATGTATAGATTAGGGAGATAGGTCTGGGTGGGATGCTCAGTGTGAACTTGTTGGGCCGAAGGGCCTGTTTCCACACTGTAGGGATTCTATGACATGAACTGGTTTGCCAGATGTTATTTAAATTGAGAAATATAGAGTTAAAGGACTAAGTCAGGATACCATTTAGATTGAAATAGTGGAGGGAAAAGAAATGTGCAATACAGAAGTGATTAGAAAATACAATCTGGAAGAAATCAGAGAGGTGGAGGATCCCAGCATCCTGGAACACCAGTAAGGGGGAGGAAAGCAAGGTCCAAGAGATGAGTTAGAAGAACTGTGGCTTGTTTCAGTTTTAGCCAGCTGTCAATTGTTTCTGTAATGGCTATGCCATTAGCCAAAGAAAGCCACAGAGATCAGCCTCATCTCCTAAATGAGCAAACATCTATGATGTAAACAAAGTCTAACAAAAACAAATCGGAAAAAAAAAGAATCACAGCCTTGCAAGTCTTAGCTCTTCAAAACAAAAAAAGTTGAGTAGGTACGCTCAAAACCTTACGAACTCAAGGGATGCTGTTTGCTTGTATTTTACGAATGCAGTGAGCTACGATGATCTACAATGTACTATCCAACAGATGGCAGAAGTAGATTCACTGGTAACTTTCAATAAGGAATTGAATAAAATGAAAACTTTACAGGGCTATAGAGAAAGTGCCACCCTACTGCCCTAACTGAATAGCTCTTTGAAAAGGTTTTACTGGAAATAATAGGCTCTTTCTGTGCTGTATGATTTTTACTGTTGCCCTATTTTGTGCAAAGCATACGTGGGTCATACAGGGGCTGAAAGATTGAAAGAAATTCCTCAAATCTTTCACTGAGCAAAACGTTAACCTTGGCATATGACTCTCATGACTAATTTTCAACAATTTGGGCATTGCAATCTTGATCAAAGCACTAGATTTGGTTAGGTTTAATTCCCAGTAAAGACAGGCATCATATGGTGTGCAACATCCCATTCTAAATTACTAATCTTTTGAGAAATCTGACTGTGCTTATTGGGGAAGAGGGGTGACTGAGGCTCCAATCAGCATGGCTGTTGTTTCTAGGGCACACTGGAACAGGTACATCTGGGGTTACGCTGACTAGGAGAGTGACTGGTTGGAGCAGCTATCCTCGATGGAGGAGTTTGTTCTCAAACAGCAATCATTCACCTGTCAAACAACTGGCACAGACCCAAAGTGAATTTCATTTACAACGATGAAAGACAATTCTACAGAATAAAAGTGAAATAAAAAAAGATGCTGAAGTAATCCACAAGCCAAGTGGATTGGAAGGTGAGGTACTGTCTATTTCAGTCATTGGGAGCTTTCACAGAACTAGAAAAAGTTAGGGATGTAACAGGCCTCAAGCAAGATACATAGAAACTCAGGGATAGGGTGGAAGCCAAGAGATTAAAGACAAATCTGACAAAAAGGCAAAAAAAAAAAGGAGGAGATAGTCATGGAAAAAAAGTGAAGAACGAACAATGTCAAGGGAGGTATAAATGGGAATAATAGAATTTTTATTAATAATCTGACAAAATGGTGGCAGAGCTCACAAATGTGAAATTGTTGGACTCAACGGTGAGACAAAAAACTGCAAAATTCAAAGATCAGGTGTTGTTCCTTGAACAGATGCTAAGCTGCTCTGAAAGAAAGAGTGTAGCAGGCAGAGGATGGAGGTCAGAAAGTGGCAGTGGTGTGGCAGACTGACATAAGGCTAGGAGCTCAGGGTTTTGTTTGAATATTGAATTAACATATTCTTCAAAATGGTCATTCAACCCGCATTTGGTCTCTCCAATATAGAGAAGAGACTGCAGCACAAGCACTGAATACTATAATCAGATTGCAAAGAAATGTATATAAATTGTGGTTTCACTTGGACAGTATGTTTGGCACCCTAGCTTGAGAGAGGGAGAAGTTAAAAAGGTAGTAGTTGCATCTCCTGTGGTTACACATGGAACTTCAAAAAGACAAAAAAGGTAGACACTACACATGCTGGTGATCCAAAACAAAAAGCAGAAAAGCGTTGGAAGAACTCAACAGTTCAGATAACATCTGTTGTGAGAGAGAAAGATTTAGCATTTTAAATACAAAGACACTTCCCTTGAACTGTTCCAAAAATAATCATTGGACTCATTAACTATGTTTCTCTCTCCATAGATGCTGCCACACCCACAGAGTTTCTCCAACACTTTTATTTCAAAAGGGCATAGACAATTTGACAGAGTGGGTGGATTGGTGACAGATAATTTTGAATCTGGAGAAGTGTGACATGATGCATTTTGCTACACAGAACGAGGACAGACAATATGACATAAGGAGTACAATTCTAAAAGGCATGCAGGAACAGTGACCTGGGTGTATATGGATTGTCGATCACTGAAAGTGCAGGACATGGGGAGACACGTTAACAAAGTATACAGTATCCTGGGCATAGAATACAAGACCAAGCAGATGATGCTAAACTTGTGCAAGCCGAGTGTCAGATTTCAGCTATGTACAGTTCTGGGCACCAATTTAGGAAAGATGTGAATGCATTAGAGAGAGAAGAGATTTACAAAATAGCTCCAGGGATGAGAAATTTCAGTTAGGAGAACAGATTAGAGGGGCTGGAATGGACAGAAGGCAGTTAAGAGGAGCTCTGTTTGAAGTTTTCAAAATTATGGCTGGAAAGTGGGGAGAAAAATGACCATGTTCAAAAAAGGATCAAGAACAAGACAGCACAGATTTCAAGTTATTTCCAGAAGAAACAAATGGGAGGTGGAAGGGGGGGAAAAAAAAAAAGAAAGACTGTCACGAGTTGTTCAGGTCTAGAAAATGCTGTGTGGAAGCATGATGGGGCAGGTTTAATTGAGGCATTCAACAGAACATTGGAGGATTATTTAAATTGAAACAATTTTCATTGTGCAAGGGAATGGTGGAGAGAACTAAGTTAATACGCTCATTGGGATAGCTAGTACAGACACAATGGGCTGAATAGCCTCCTTTATGCCATAACAGTTGTGTGATTCTGTGATTTAGGGTCAGCACCATGAGAAAAAGGAGTTGTGGTTGAGGAGTGAACAAACTGTTGAGAACAGAATCCCTTTGGAATGATGAACAAGAATAGGAGGATGTGTTTCCATGTCACATTCTCAAATAGGAGGATGATCTGTTAAATATAAAAAATATAAAAAAGGCTTATGCTTGTGAAAAGGGGCATCTTATGATTCTGGGAAGAGGTGTGGAGAGATGGACAGGAAATGGAACATGTTGCGGGATCAGTTAAGTATAGTTGTAAGGGTTTCCCAGCAGTTGAAGAAAAAGGAAGGCATCCTCTAGATCCTTCTCCCCTTCTCTCAAATCATATCCAGATGTAATGTCCTGCCATGCTTCCATCAGTCCCCTGACCTCACCATGCAGCACTCAGCAACAGTCACAGCTTCATGCTGTTAATGCCACCATCTCAATGAATTGGACTTTGCAACAAGTTCTTCTGTTGCCTTTTATTTTCCTTCTGTTTGGCCAGAGTCTTTCCGTTCACAAAGTCAGATGCTTCTCACCTTCAGAATTCTTATTCAACCTGTGCCCCTTCTGTGTGGTCGCTGAAACCTGCTTGAGATCTTTTCATTGAAAAAATTGCTATGAGACATTTGGCAATTTTGCTGTTCCTCTCATTCACTCTAAACAAACTTTCACAATTTGCAGCGCTTCAACTTATTGTCAATAAATTCATCTCATTTGGAGATCATCCTATGATGGCTTCCAATAATCACACCCAAACCCAGCTCACCAGGCTTCAAGACAACAAGGTGCAGGGCTGGATGAACACAGCAGGCCAAGCAGCATCATAGGAGCAGAGAGGCTTAACCTGGCTCCTCACGATGAACACCATGGTTACCCCTGAAGATTCACTGTAACTTGTTATGCCCCACAATTCAACTTTGACTATATTTTTCCTCTTACCAGTATTGTCAAACTATCATGGGACTCTTCTGATGCCCTTTGCCAATTCAACAATTGCAAGTTTTTTTTGACTCTAACATGGGTGTCTTTCATCCTCTACGCTCCCACCAGCATATGTGAAGTAGTTCTTCCTCTTATTTGAGGAGTAGCTTAGCCAAGCTGCCTTCTTTGCCACCCTTCTCCACATGGCTGTACCTCTCACATTGAATAACTTCTTTAACTCTAAACACTTCCTCCAAATAAAGAAAGATTGTCCTAATGGGACCGCACATGGATCCAGTTTGATAATTATGTTTTTGACAGAATATATTGAACATGCACTAGTTCCTTCCAATCACCTCCCTCCAGTACATTGATGGATTGTACTGGCATACTTCCTCTTCTTGAGAAAAATCAACTTTTCCATCGGATTTCTATCCTGTCGTTCAGCACTGACCTTTCTTGGACATTTGCGTTTCTATTTCAGAGATTAGGCTTTCATCTAATATCTATTCCCAGTCCACAGACTCTCTAGCAATTTTGACTATACCATCCCACCCCTCTTCTTATCAAGGAGATTTCATTCTCCCAAATTTTCCACATCCATCACAGCTGTTCAGATGCAGATGTAATTTAACCTTGAAAAGTATAAGGTGATACACTTTGGAAGGAGTAATTTGACAAGGAAGTATTCAAGGAAGAACATAACACTAGGAAGTCCTGTGGAACAAAGGAACCTTGGAGTGTTTGTCCATAGACCTCGGAAGGTGGAAGGACACGTTCATAGGGTAGTTAAAAAGGCATAAAAGAGACACTTGCCTTTATCAATTGATGCATAGATTACAAAAAACAGGGAAGTCATGATGGAGATGTATAAAACTTTGGTGAGACCACAGCTAGTGTGTTGTGTGCAGTTCTGGTTGCCTCATTATAGGAAAGACGTAATTGTACTGGAGGGGGTGCAGAGGAGATTCACCAGGATGCTGCCTGGGACGGAAAATGCAAGTTATGAGGAAAGGTTCAATAGGCTTGGGTTATTTTCATTGGAGCAGAGAAGACGGAGGGCGACCTGACTGAGGTGCACAAGATCGAGAAGGGCATGGACAGTGTGGATAAGGAGCAGCTGTTTCCTTTAGTCAAAGGGTCAGTCACAAGGGGACACAGGTTCAAGGTGACGGGTAGGAGGTTTAGTGGGGGACACAAGGGACAGTTTCTTTACCCAGAGTGTGGGTTGGAATGTACTGCCTGCGAAGGTGATAGAGGTGAGTTGCCTCATTTATAAAGTACCTGGATGAGCACTTGACATGTCATAACATTCAAAGTCACAGGCCAAGTGCTGGTAAATGGGATTAGGCTGAAGGCCAGGTCTTTCATACGTGTCTGTGAAGACTCAGTGGGCCAAAGGGCCTCTTCTACACTCTGTGATTCTATGATTTAAATGATTACATAGATTCTTGTGTTACCTTCCATTCCAGGGCTCGAGAGGCCTTCATTTTTCTTTAATGAAAACTCTCTCACTGGTTTGACAGGGTCCTCAAGTCATGTGTAATAATTTCTCACAATTCTGCTCTTGCTCTTTCCTTGTCCTCTCAAAAGTCTTCAGATTCCCTTCTATCCTCAACCCCCATATTCGACAGATCATCCTCAGCAATTTGCACCACCTCATCTTGATGACACTCATATACCTTCCTCTTCCCTCCACTGTCAGCATTCTGAGACGACCATTCCTTTCTCACCGCCCTGGTCCATACATCCATCAGCTCCAACATTCCTTCCAGTTTCTAGGGCACATTTCCATTCAAGGGATAGGGGCAAAACCTACTCCCTGATCTCCTTCCTTCCTGCTATTTAGCATTCCAAATACTCCTTCCAGACTGAACTGCGATTTACTTGCACTTCTTTCAATTTTGTGGATGATATTCACTGTCCATGATGCAATCTCCGGTACACTGGAGTGACTACATACAGCAATTGTTTTGCAGACAGTTCCATGTAGTTTTTGAGAGAGATCTGGAATTTCCAATTGTCTACCATTTAATGATCTGTCTCACTCACATTTGGATGCCTCTCCCCTTGGAACAGTGTAGGATGCCAAAGAAGCTCAATGGGAGCTTGAAGAATAACAATTAGGCTCATTATAGCTTTCTGGTCTCAGAACTAAAATTCCACTTTCAGATCACCACCTCTGACCCCACTTATTTGAATGGCAGCTGCCAATGGTGATTACAATTCCTATTTACACTTTGTTCAGACCAACATTCATCTCCTTTTTGCTTTGCACCAAACGTTTTACCATTTGATGTTTCCCATCTTCCACTCCTTCACAGACAGACATTCTCAGCTCTTTCCTTTCACTGCATCTATACTTTCTGAAAACCTGACTGCATCTTTAACTTGCTGTGCTACTGAATAATCAACCTGAATATTTATCTCTGTTTGTATTTCTTTAAGCTGTGCCAAGTCAACTGAATCACGCCAGTACTTTTATTTTTGTAAATGTTGGTCAGGTTTCATTTTGCATTTATCTGTTTCCACTATGTACTTAAGGCCCAGCCTAACTGAGATTATGACAAAGAATTTAAACAATTCCCAAAAAGGTGTAGAAACCTTCATTCTGTAGATCTCCAACTCATTATCTGTGATCCTCCAGGGCTCCTCTGCCTTCATTTTTTCAGATGCTTCTTGTTCTTTATCATCCTCATGAAGTCTGAACGGTTCAATCATCTCTTCAAAAGCTGCAATACTGTGCAATGTAAAATAAAAGATAGTAAAAAGCTTGTATTTTGGTATTATACTGAATTTCTTCCAAAAGCAATGACCAGAAATTTCTATAGCTAAAATAGTCAGTATAATAAATACTAATCTATCAGCATTTGACCAGAAAAGAAAAGGAGTTAGCAATTTCAGTGATTGATTTTGTGATGCAGCTTTGGAAAATTAATCTCATATCAAAATCACTTACTTGTCTTTGCTTGGCTTAGTATTCATATCCCCGAGAACAGTGATGTCTGAAAAGTCTATCCTGAATTTGCTGAGTAAAGTAGCCATTCTGAAAGTCAATAATAAACTTACTTAATTATTGACAATATTTTCCATATTCACAATTGCAAAGCAAATGCTAGTGGAGCTTCTCATTACCAACGCTAGAGAAATTTCTACAATGATGTTGTCTCAAGTTCCAGCAAATGCCCCTTAGTCTTTTTAGGGTTGCAGCAACAATTAGAATCAAAAAGAACAAATCTGTCTTTTTTACTGTTGTTTCAAAATAATCTTTTCATGTGGTACACAGATTGAGAGCACTCACTACTCATTTATCCACAAGCTGCGCAAGTTCTCAAAGTCTACTTTGATGTTTAGCCACACAGTTTAACAAACAATTTTATGAAAATAGAGCCAGATGTTTATTATTAACACATCTGCAAACACACATGTATATCATTTTTAGGTTGGCTAAAATTAATTACTCACGTCCTCCTATCATGGTCTATCCTGTTTATTTTTCCACCAATGAACACTCTGATCTTGCAATCTTTCCACTTTTTCTTCGTTGTGAGAAGATATGGGATAAGTAATGTTAGGCCTATCAAAGCAGGAAAAAGCGGAGACATTTAATCATCCCAAATAACTCATCTTTCCAGTTCGTTACCAAAGTAGAACTTAGCAAACAAAAAGGAAATGGCAACCATTATCATGCTGTGACTGGTTTATTTGTACAAGAAACAAAATGGAATTGCAGAATGAAAATCTATACCTCCATCATCAAAAAGCCACCAGACGTCAATTGTCCCTTTACCCTGTTTCTTTTGGAATTGAGAGCTCGCCTGAAGCAGCTTCTGGTCATTCATGTTCAAAGGCACAGATGAACCTTTAGCCTCTGAAAAGTTACAAGGAAAATTAGGCACTTTTCCAAATAAAAAGGGAAAGCCATTGTAATCAGTAATAGTTCAACACCACAGGACATTTAAAAGAGAACATAGTCAACAGTGATTAAAGTCTTCCAGAGAAACAGAAAAATACCTACATTTGTATTTTCTAATATTTGTTTTGGTGGCTTTTTAATCAGGAAAAATGAAGCGATCTGGAGAACTTCATCATGTGATTTATTTTAATTTAGAAAATCAAGTAAATCTTCCCTTTAACAAATCTTTCCTAATTTATGCCCAATCTCAAATTTGCTCCATAGTAAATTATTACTTTCCTCAACTCATCCACAAAAAAATAGCAAATTACTCAAATATTAAAGCATGCAGCCACTCTATCAATTTCTAAAATGGATTGAATATATAAAAGGCACCTAGTGACGTTGGGTAAGTCTTGCAAGTGCCAGGAAATTCCATTCCTGCAAGGTCAGAGTGTGCATTGATCTGTACAACTTACTTCCATTAAGCATAATTAAATCATTTAATTTTTTGCAGCGAGATGGTTTAGAGAATTCTCACTTTTTTGCATGCCTTTTTAATAGCACTGTTTAAAAAAGACAAAACAATGTTACATGGCAGACTTTCATTTATTGAATAGAATTTTTATTCTGTGATAATCAATTACCTACCACTGATTTGCAACACTGGAGCCACAATTCACATTTCTGCCGTGTTGCAGAATACTTTTCCTAATTAAGGATACCACAATAAAACTAAACTTGACGGATAATTCTACGAAAAAGAAAGGTGAACATTGGCTACAGAAACCTGCACCCCCACACACAATCCTCCCCAAAATTCAAGACAAGCATCAACTCTTCCTTTCCCACCACCTCCAGAAGGACAATGAAGAATGAAAAAGAAACACATTTTGCTATATAGCTTGGAATAATTTCCACGTTATATGGTAAACTACAAACAGTGAACAAAACTGATTGGAGAAACACACAAGGCATCTTTAGATTCTTGTCCAATTTAGGTTATTGTAAGCAAAGCCAAAAAGGTAGCAACAAATACAAGTGTATTTAAAATTGATCAGCCTTAGAGGAAAATAGATTTCCATTTGAGTGTAGTCCTTTGTCATTTTAGATAAAAGGACTGCACCTGAAAACAACATATTTACTTTTTAGCTAGATAAGCTGCTTTATAGTTATAACTACTTCTGTTTTTATTTCCAGTACTCAAATCTTCCTTTTTGACTTTTTGTTTTAAAACATTAGACAGCTGTCACAGAATTTGCATTGAGCTTTTAGATTGCTGTGAGCTGGCAGTCATTGGAGCCGTTTAGAAATATGCAACTAAAGAACAGTGTTCAAGCAGAAACTGCACAAATATTAAAAAGAATCAGCACTGGCTCATACAGGAGGGGAATGGAGAAGCAGGGCTTAGTACAAACAAGTTACTACTCGAGGTATTCAAAACAAAAAGAAAACTGAAAATATACAGTGGAACAAAAGAAAAGACAAAAAAGAAAGATCTGATTTCTAATGCAACTTAAATAATGAAAAACCAAAGAATGAAATGAAAACAAAAGAATGGGATGCCTGCCTTTTTTCAAGAGTGGCTGTGTGGACGCCTTTCCGTCATCTTCTTCATCTGCATTATGTTCAAAACAACCAATAAAGTAAGTTAACTTCACATGCATCACTAGATGTAAACAAAATTTAAACATTTAGTTGCTTTAGAATGTAATTAATGGTGAATTACATTGTGAACATTAACTTATTACTTAAAAGGATGAGAGGAAAAAAAAGAGCTCAAAGTAATGGATCTAAAATTGAATTGCACTGCATTACTTTGTTATTTCAGTCCAAGCACCAGCCCACGTCTCCTGGAAGTGTCGTTTTATTCAGAAAGTTTTAATTAGTTTATGTGGGAGTTTATCTCTCTGTTAGGGAAAAACATTAAAACGATAAGCCATTTAGTGATAGCTATCCGTGAATAGCTTTTTAATCAAAAAGTTTCCTCACCCGTCCCAACATTTATCATCTTTCTGGTAGCCAATGATAAGGTTATGAAACCACATTGGAATTAATTGGCAAAAAAAGAAAATATGGGGGTTGTGGTCGAGACGGAGGAGGAGGGAGACTATGACAGGTGTTGGGGCAATTGAGGGAAATGAAGGCTGGTGTACAGGCAAAATGTCAAAAGACCGAGACAGGCTATATATGCAAGGTCAAACAAAAAACAAAAAACCAGAAACGTGTAGGTTGGTCCACACACTTTGGTTATTCTTTCCGTTTCTCTCCAGCCCCCTTCACCCATATATAGCTGTTCAGGCGAGTGAGGCGAGTGAGGCGAGTGAGGCGAGTGAGGCGAGTGAGGCGAGTGAGGCGAGTGAGGCGAGTGAGGCGAGTGAGGCGAGTGAGGCGAGTGAGGCGAGTGAATGAAAATTAGGTATTTGCTTCAGTTTATGCCCTGGATTTCAAAGCGAGCAAATTAGTTTCTCCTCCTGCTTCGGTCAAGTCAGTACAAATATTGGTAAGACAGCCACTTTTAACGCACATGGAGTCAGTCATTGTGCTTGGAAATGTCCCAGAGCCTGGACCACAAAATTTAACAAAAGAAGTTAGTTGAAAATTAATTTTTATAAAAAAAATGTTCAGATGGAAACATTAGATTTCAATAATTGTTTTGTGCAATTATAGGAGTAATTATAGCGCCTGATACAATGCAAAGAAAACCCTCTTCCGTTATCGAACCACTCTGGAAAAACAGGAGTGCCTGTTGCCATCTACAAAGGGTAGGTTTCGGAAGTTTGGAATGCCATTCAGTCTAGTGTCAGCTAACACATTGCAAAAAGCTGCAAATAACCTCGTGTTACGAGCAAATTTCCTGCAATATCTGGCAGTACAGATAATTACATTTACACAACACGTTGGAGTGCTGACATTTTTAAACGTAACCACCAGCTGCTAAGACCCTCAGTATAGATTGTGCTGAACTACTCATGTCATTAGTAGACACTAAAAAGTTGGATCTTGGAAGAGCACCCATTATTTTGTGATGTGCCCTTAGTCTGAGGAACCACAGTTCATGTGAAGATTTGGAAACTTTATCCTCTTGCTTCATTATCTAATAAATCCCAAACTTTCTGACAAGTAATTGATGGCTTTTCTTGTCATTAACATTAGATATGATTATCAAGCATTTTAAATACACATTTTAGCATCTTGCTATTCAGTTGTTAAAATTGGGTTCGACCGATTAATTAAATGCAAATATCTCAAGCCTATTTTATCTACCAAAACTAAGCTTAGGGAAAATTAACCATCGTTCCTTTTGTAGCCAATGCTTTGATCTACAAATTGCTAAAAATACATTTGGCAGAAAATACAAATTGCTTTTCAGCTGCTGATTGAGATTTAAAAAAAAAAGATAAAAATATTGAAATATCAATTTGTTCTCTCAAGATCCCAGACTGACCACTACAACCTATCTAGGGATCAGTAACCTATTTTTCTTAAAAGCTAGACTTAAGTTTGTGATCCCAGGCACTAACAATAAAGCTGCAAGATTCCATTGTTTTGAAAATGCAATATTTTCATAATCAAATTTAGAAGACTGGTATAATTTACTCTATACACAAGCACACACACACACACGTATATTTTAACATCCAATTAGAATTAAGCAGAGATAAATATGGGTAGCAGACACATTGCAGGTGAACACCCCACAGAGCACTTCAAACAACAAGTGCTGTCGAGAGATTGAATTATTTCTCAGCAACTCTCCAGACATCAGTAACAAGTAAATCACTGAAGATCAAGATTCCGCATTCCTGCAAAATGTGTTCCATCACAGTCTACTTAACTAGCTCACATCCTGGTAATTCCCTCTTCCAATCATCAAATACCTACAGTGCAGAAAGAGACCTTTCAGCCCACCAACTCTGCAATAACCTTATGAACAACATCCCACCTAGATCCAGCCCACCCACCCTGTCCCCACAACTCGACATTTCCTGTGGCTAATCCACCTAACCTGCACATCCTTAGGCAGTGGGAGGAAACCAGAACACTCAGATAGTAGGAACTGCCGATGCTGGAGTATCTGAGATAACAAGGTGTAGGAGCTGGATGAACACAGCAGGCTAAGCAGCAGAGGAGCAGGAAGGCTGATGTTTCGGGCCTAGATTTTCTGAAGGGTCTAGGCCCGAAACGTCAGTTTTCCTGCTCCTCCGATGCTGCCTGACCTGCTGTGTTCATCCAGCTCTACACCTTGTTGTCTCAGAGTACCCAGAGGATGTGCAGACTCCACAGACAGACAGTCACCTGCACCCAGATCCCTGGCACTGAGGCAGCAGTATTAGCCAATGAGCCACCATGCCACCACAAATCAGGAGCATGTCTTCAGGATCCTGGCGAATGCACTGTGCTACATACTCAAGCACAATTTCTGGTTGTCCGCAGACCGTTGTCTTCCACCAACCGGTACTGCTATGTTTCCAACTTCTTACTTTCCTCAACTGAAAAAAATAAATATGGCTTGTGGGGTTCCTTCACCCTCACTCAGCTACACCGATTTACATATGGCACCTTTCTTCGGAGACCCAACAGCTCCTAGGGCTTTTCCTGTGTCCTAACCCCAAAGCTTAGGCACGTCTCCCAACTCCCAGGCTTCTCCAGAGTCGCAGTGACTCAGTTGCTATAGCAGCACCTTTTTGCAATGGAGTTTCTTCTCCTTGCTTCAAAGTACTTTGCTAAACAGAAGGTCATAACTTGCCTGTCCAACTGTCTCTATCCAACTGATGGACTTGGTTGTTCAGAAACCCCTGAACCATTCTCAATGTTCTATTGGAAACCTTACGACAAGCTTGATCATGATTCCTAGTTAGTATTGAATGTCATTAGCATTTTAGAACATAATTGTTAGTAACTCTGAATCTCAGAATTGTGACATTCAAAAAAAAAACAGATTATTGGATTATTTAGTACAAAATGGATAAGTAATTGTTTTATCACAATACACAATATTAATATAAAATTAAATATCATTGATTATGCATCTAAGACTACAGAACATTTTTGAATGTGCAGCATTCAAAATACATGTTGAGCTACAGGTCCCAAAAAAGAGTAGGAGTAGGCCACTCAGTTCTTCAACCCTGTTCCATCTTTCAACATGATCATAGCTGATCATTCAACTCAGTACCTTGTTCCTGATTTCTCCTTATAGCCCTAAGAACTATAATCGAATTCCTTCCTGAAAATATTCAATATTGTTACTTCGACTACTTTGTGACAGTGGGTTATCACTCTGGGTGAAGATATTTCTTCTCATCTCGCTCTTCAAAAGACCTACCCAGTGCCTTAGAATGTGACCCCTGGTTCTGGGCATTCCAGTCATTGGCAACACCTTTCCTGCATTTACTCCATTTAGTCCTGTTAGAATTTTAAAGGTTTCTACGAGATCCCTCCACATTCTTCTGAACTCCAGTAAACCCAATCCTAAATGATCCAGGCTGTCTTCATTCGTCAGTCCTGCCCTTTGTAGCTAACAGCAACCAACATAAATATACACATTATGAAATGGAGCTTCAGCTGAGGAACTGCTGTGAAGAGATTGTGGTATTTCTATAAATGTATTAAATTTTCATGTGATGCAGTCATATTATAATGACAAATAATGACAAGAACGCAAGGTGAATGTAATTATAAACAAATTTCATTGAAGCTCCCTGGATTAACATTCATGGGAGTGCAGACAACCAGCTTCCCCCATCTAGAGTAGAATTCAGTTTTAACGACACAAATACAACGTTTCGGTTCTGTATTTCACACCAAATATTAACGTTAAGCTTGCAACAATCAATTTGTTTCCATACAAGGTTCCGTTGGGTAAAAAAAGTAACATTCAGCAATAGAGAGTATTCACTTCTCAGGATGAAGATGAAAATTTTCATCAGCCCAAATTGTACAAGTTCTACATGTAATTCATTCTTCAGGAAATATAGGTGGTTTTACACATGCAGAGTTAATCATCTGATCAGTATTATAGTTACCAAAGGCAGGAAAGGCATGAAGCACCAACCATATTCAATTTAATGTTGATTGATGACTGCTGAGCCCTGCAAACCATGTTCTTGAGTAAACCAGTACTCAAAAATGATATTTTGTTAGACAAGTTCTCAAAACAATTACAATTTACATCATCAACTTTTTTGAATTTGTGCATTTGTTTCACACTTCAATAAATAACAATAACAAATTGCCTTTAGATGGAATACCCCAGGGCCTTGTTCATTGGATCCTGTAACTTCAATCAGGCCGACCTCAAGAATGTTCAACTAAGATACTGCTAATACGTTTCCTGTCCCACTAGAGGTCCAAACTCCCTGGACCACTGCTACACAACCAAAAGATGCCTACTACTCCATCCCCCACCCGCATTTTGAAAAAAATCTGACCGTAAGGCTACGTTCTCTCTCTCCAATTACAAACAGAAACTGAAGCATGAGGATCAGGTACAGATAGTCGTATAGTGCTGGTGTGAGGTAACAGAGGAGCTCCTACATGACTGACTGGATTCAGTGGACTGGTCCATAGTCAGGAACTCAGCATCCAATCCAAATGAGTATGCCACGACCGTCACAGATTTCATCAATAAGTGTGCCAAAGAAGTCAATCCAAATGTTTCCCAACCAGAAACTATGGATGAACTGGAAGATCTACTCCCTACTGAAGTCCAGGTCTGAGGTGTTCAAGTTGGGTGACACTGATCTATACGGGAAATCAAGGTATGACCTGCACAAAGCCATTAACAAGCGACAACGCCAAACCAAACCAGAGCCCCAGACTAAACACAAACACACGTCCACTGTGGCAAGGCTTACACAATATAACAGGCCACAAAGCGAAGTTGAGTAGAATCGCTGACAACAATGTGCTCATTGGGGAGGGAAGCAATGTATTCTATGCTTCTTTTGAAGAGAAGGCCAGTGAAATGATGTCACCTGCCCCCAAGAGCCTCATGTGCACCCGTACGCACCGTTCCAGTCACCACCACAGACACCAGATCAACCTGGAGGGTGAACCCATGGAAAGTGACTGGCCCAGATGGAGTCCCTACTATATACTCCGATCCTGCACAGACCAGCTGGTGGGAGTATTTTCACAGACATCTTTAACCTTCCCTTACTCCCATGCGAGGATCCCACCTGCTTCAAGAAGACCACTATCATTCCAGTGCAAGATGGCGGCACAGTAACAAGGCAACATGGGGGGTCCTCTTGCCCGGGGTCCGTCTGCTCCCATTGGCTTCTGCTCCTTTATTTTGGTCTTTCTTCTTGTGGGGAATTGGCCTGCAACACTGGCGCAGCAGCGAGAGCTGGCCACACATGGAGTGGTGGTGGACATTGCTTCTCCCAGCCATCAGAGCCCAGTGGCAGCAATGACTTTCTCCTGCCATTTGGGGCCGGTGGAAGTGGCAGCAAACTGGGGACTGGCAGTGCTGTCAAGGTGACATCTGCAGCCAAAATGGGACACGTGACCTGGCAGCGGAGCCAGGGTCTCTTGGTCGCGGGGCAAGTTTAGCGGTGTCAGCAAAGAGATGGTGCTTAAAGTGGGGTAACTCCTACATAACTCCTACATCGGTGGGTCCGGTGCAGGCTGCAGAAAAGTGATAGAGGTCACCCTTGAGGTTAGATACTGGCATGAACAGAGTCAGAAAGATTTATTCTGAATTTTTTACTTTTTTTTTTTCCCCTAATTTATTTCTATGACCTAAAATGCTGGTATATTTATTTCTTCAACTTTTATAATTTCTTTTGTTTCCTCAGAATTTGATCTTTAGTATCTGTACCTATGTATGTTTGTACCTTAGATGGCGCTGTTATGCAGCAACTGTAAACTTTTCACTGTACTCATGCGAGTACACGTCACAATAAAGATAATTCAATTCAATTAAAAGATGATTTGGGCAACGTGCCTTAATGGTTACTGCCTGGTGGCTCTGATATCTATCATTGTAAGGCAAAGAAGAGTCTAGGCCCGAAACATCAGCCTTCCTGCTCCTCTGATGCTGCTTGGCCTGCTGTGTTCATCCAGCTCTACACCTTGTTATCTCAGGACTTATACAGGTTAATGGTAGGGCACTGATGAGTGGTGCCAAACAAAGAGACCTAGGGGTGTAGGTGCATTGTTCCTTGAAAGTGGAATGACAGGTAGACAGGGTGGTGAAGAGAGTGTTTAGCATGCTTGTCTTCATTGGTCAGGACACTGAGTGTAGGAGTTGGGACTTCATGATGCAGTTGTACAAGACATTGGTGAGGCCACTTTTGGCATACTGCACACAATTCCGGTTGCCCTTCTATAGGAAGGAGGTTGTTAAACTTGGAGAGAGTGCAGGAAAGATTGACAAGGATATTGCCAGGACTCGGGGGTTTGAGCTATAGGAAGAGGCAGAATAAGCTGGGACTTTTCTCCCTGGAGTGTTGGTGACTCAGGGTGAAGAGTCAAAGGCTTTTTCCCAGCATAGGGGAGTCCAAAACTAGAAAACATTGGTTTAAGGAGAGAGGGGAGAGCTTTAGAAAGGACCTGAGGGGTAACTTTTTAATGCAGAGGGTGCTGTGTGCATGGAACAAGCTGCCAGAGGAAGTGGTAAGGTAGGTACAATTACAACATTTAAAAAAGGCACCTGGATGGGTACATAAATAGGAAGGGTTTAACAGGAATATAGGCCAAATGCTGGCAATTGGGAACTAGGTCAGATCGAGACGTCTGGTCAGTGCAGACAAGTGGGACCGAAGGTTCGGTTTCTGCGCTATATAACTGTGTTGTCTGGTTAGCATGCAATACAATACACTTCACTGTATCTCGGTACATGTGACAATAATAAATCAAATCAAACCAAATTAAATAATGGGACAATAAAATTCATGTCTCATATTTGGGGTGAAGCTACTTGCTCCAAATTCATTTAATTCTGCACAGCATTTGATGATAATTTTGTAGCATTGTTTAATTGATTATGTAATAAAATTACATTCAAAATATAGAAAATAGGAACAGGAGTGGGCCATTTGGCCCCTCATGCCTGTTCCACCATTCCACATGATTATGGCCAATTCTCCTACTCAGTATCACGGTCCTGCTCTCTTCCCATACGCTTTCATCCATTCAGCTCAGAGAACAGTGGATCAAGATTATTGGTAAAATCTCAGGTTACAGGCGGTGAAGACATCACAAACCTCATATCACTCACAGCACAGGCCTTCAGATCTTTTTCTTGCCCACAGCCAGACCATGGAGTTACTGTTCATTTATCCTGAAGTTAGTTAATGTTTCTCTAATTAGCCAAGTTATGTGTCATGTAATAACAAGGAATCTACAACAACCCACTGGAAGCAATTTTAATTTCTATTGTCAGGTAGAAAATGGGTAACAGTGAATCAACAGTGGCTTTGCACAGTGCATTTTTTTTACTCCCACCCCTCAAGTGGAAAACCATTTTGCCTGTCAATAAAAGTTAAAATTGGCCAGTGGTTTAGACTCCAGATTGTAAAAAGTTATTAAAGTAACTAAATTGCTGCTTGTACAACTTACACTGAATTATCAACATTATATATCTAAATTCATAAAATAAAATCTCAGTACTCCATCAAGTCTACTCAAGCAACAGGTCATTCACTACACAAGACAGCAGATGCTTTGAACAGCTGCAGATGCAGGAACAGGTAAAAACATTGCAAATACGCAGGTTAGTCATCATTTGAAAAGAACAAAAAAAGAAGTTAGGACTTGCAAGTTGTCTTAAAGGAATAACCAAAACATAGAGGCCATCTTTTGCTATCGTCAGTCCTGTGAAACAGGCCCAACTGGTATTCTTCATCAGTCCTAGGGAAGGTTTGTACAAACAAGTTGCAAAATTGGTCGGTCTCACTCAGAAAATACTGACAGAACAGCTCTAGAACTGAGATGCTTTTTTTCCCTTTTGCATTTTCATAGACCAGGGGCATTGAAACAGGTACATGTGACCAAAAAGGTGAAAAGGGTCATTTTACTGCTAAAAAGGCTAGAATAAATTAATTGGCACTTTAAAAATGCATTTCACCATATTTTCAGCTCATTTCAAAATTGTGAATTCTTACCTTTTTGGTCTTGTGACACAGCTGGGCTGTTGGTTTCACTCACTGATTTTGAAGATGGCTTTGAGGAATCTGCATCAGAATGTTCCAGATTCACCACAATGTCCTTGGGTTGAGCAGATTTCTCCTGAGAAGTGCATAGCTCTTCTGTACACAGAAACAGAAGAGATATTAACCACCTCAAAAAGATTGGATGCTTAAATGATCATAATTATTCACAAAATAATTAGTATTCATATATCGCACACAAAATCACACCTTCAATTAAGTGAAAGCAAAAAAGCAGGTCAGCCAGCGAGCAGAGTAAAATGATCAAATTCTTTTTTATTTGAATAGACCCACTCATTTGGGCAGACATGTTCAATGACTGGGCAAACAGAAATGCCAGATACTTTGATGGCTCTGATACATCAAACTGAAAACCAATGCCAGTTCCAAAGACACACAATTAATAGATGATCCAAAAGGATGCTAATTAAACAGTATCAAATGCACAAAGGGTTAAGAATCCCAAGGACAGAGAATGCAGGCTGGTCAGTGAGAATATCATCTGTTGCCAGAGGTACAATACAGTTATTAACATAACAATTTTTTCATAAATGCCTGAGAAAATCTGTTATCTGACTGACAAATCTGATACTGGTAGTTACCAAAACACTGTGCTAAATTCCCACACTCCATATGGGCTGCTCACACCTGCAATTAGTCGTACTTGATCATGACTATGAAACCCTAGTTAACAAACAAAAATTCTTATTTTGGGAAGCTCCATTTCCTAACTTGTGCACCTACCTAGTCTCACAAATCCATTTTAATTGTTACTCTCTCATTGGGTTTAATAAAAAAAATTCAAAATGTCCAGTTTATAGCCAAAAGTATAACAATAAAATTTCATGTTTAAGAGTTTTTGTCACAAAAGATTTGTAACACTCTTGACTAAACATTTTTGTTGAAAGTACAATTGCGTGCAATGAAATAGAGTGTTCCCGCTGCTCTTTTAGCACATTATTTATTTTACCCCACAGCTAATCCAAGGTAATGTTTTTGTTTTAGCAGCTCCTGTTCAGTTCTTTTCTCAGCCTGGGAACGTTCAATCTTTTGAACAGTCTCTCATAGAAATGGCCTGCACCACTCTCCCAGCAGAAAGTGAACCTTACCATTTTGAACGAACACAAATTCAGTCTTAAGAGTACAAGCTCTCATCCCCGTTCCCATATGGTGAACGACAGAGAGTCATAGAGTTATATAGCTTGAAACAGACCCTTTGGTCCAACTCGTCCATGCCAACCAGATATCGTAAATTAATCTAGTTCTGTTTGCCAGCATTTGGCCCATATCCCTCAACCCTTCCTATTCGTATATCCATCCAGATGCCTTTTAAATGTTGTAATTGTACCTGTCTCCACCACTTCTTCTGCCAGCTTGTTCCATACACACAGCACTCTCTACCTGAAAAAGTTGCTCCTTAGGTCCCTTTTAAATCTTTCCCGTCTCACCATCTCCACACTCCCCCAAACCCACTCCCACCTCGGACCTGACAAAGTAACCTGATGTGACTGTTTTTGGGGATATACAGAACCTTCACCTCTCAATGGCAACATAAACTAGATGGGCCACATATCCAGGTAGAACACTTATTAGGTACTCTTGTGCTTTATACTGTCCATTTACTTCAAAGATACGACAGTTGGGAGGCTCTCAGTACACAGGCAGCTGTCATCTTTAAAGTTTAACAACCTCCCTTTAATCATGAACAAACAAATCACCCAGGATTGCTCTCAGGTATAGACACTTCAGGACAATACAGTCTGGAGCTGGAGGAACACCGCAGGTCAGGCAGTAGAGGAGCAGGAAAGTCAGTGTTTCAGGTTTACAGCCTTCATCAGGACACTTCAGGACATCTATAACTCACTTCATTTTAATTTTAATTCATAAACAGTCCCAGAATAATCTCATAAACCTCAGGATTGTACATCTGAGGACATGATGTTATAATGAGTGCAAGCTGGGAAGAGGCTTGGTCCATTAGGATTCTGCACCGAAGGACGCTGGGTGTTGTGTTCAAGTCCGACATTGATGGATTGTCGGATACTAAGTGAATCGTGTATATATGGATATTATGGGAAAGTGGAGTTGAAGTGGAAGATCAACCATAAAATGTTCATGAATGATAGTGCAGAAACAATGAACCAAATGGCCTCCTCCTGCTCTTCATTGTCTTATATTCCTAACACATCTAATGACTGTCATGTGAACGAGATGTAAATAAGCTGACTTTTCCAGGACATTAACATTTAATATAACAAAAAAGTGATATGACTCAGGTGACTAAAATAAACCAACTGCAAATAGGATGGCCAGTTTTTAAACACTGTCCTTTACCTTTGGTTTCAAGCACAAGTTTAGTTTACTGTAATTTAAAAAGTCCCTTTTTTGACTATACTTTAATACCATTAGAAACAAGGTTGAGAATGTAAGAGCTCAGAATAGAAAACTACATGCTAGATAATACTGTCAGGCAGACACAGTGGGAAGCAAATATTTGCATCCATTTTTGAGTAACTTAGCACTTTTCATTTCTCTCTGTCATACCCTGAGCAGTACCATTAGTAATTTCCTTACTAGACATCAGGTCTGGATGACTAAATACAGAACAAAATTCAATAGCCGATCACTTTCCAACTTCTGCCCCCACTTATGGCACATCCTCAAATTGTTTCCAATAGACCCCTGCAGCAATAATTACCAGCATATAATTACAAACCATGACTAGTGTGGGAGGAAAAATAAACAAGAACCTGCATTTTCAATAGCATGCTGATGTTCAATAGCATAAACTACCTAAATGCAGTCACTTTGGAACGTTAAAAGAATTGCAGATCAAAAACTCACCTTGTGCTTGAAGGTGAGAAATATTAAAACCTTCCTTTAATCTGATGACGACTACCCCATATTGACAGTCAAATGCATCACTGTAAAGAAAATGTAAGTGACAATGATCTGTTCATGAACTAGAAATTAAATTCTTAGACCAAATCAGGATTAATGTTTCACAAGAACTGACCATTGCAGATTAACATTGGTACTGCAAAGGCACTATTACTATTTATAAAAAGAGATAGCTTAACTCAACCGTACATCCAATTTTGCATAATTAACATTATTCAAATTGGGAAAGAAAGTGTTTATTTAAGATAATGGTAAAAGGTTTAGCTGGTGAAAAATATTCAGGATCTTCTCACACTTGAATGAAGTTCATCAAAACCAGCCCTGGTATCATTTATTCATTGCTGTACATTGAATGCTAAAATGCAACATCTATGATGGTTGTGTCTCTTTAACTCTTATTTATTGGAATGAAAACACCACAGTTTGGATTATGTTAGGGCCAAAGAAAGCTAAAAGGTACTCTCAGTATTATACAATATTTGTGGTATTGTTACAAATATTCCATAAGAAATAAAAGGAAGAAAAAATGGCTTTTGTTTTCTGTGGTGCTTTACTCTACACAATGGGAATTAGTAATCTCAACTCACTGGATAGTGTTGATGTAATTATCCACATCCTTCATAACAGCTTGATGCCAGTCTTTCTTAAAGCCAAAGACCAGTGTGTTGGGCCGCATTCGACCAAGTCCTACAGCCTAGAAAAGGACAACAAGCAGAAAGAAATGTCACTTATTCCTCAGACATTTGCCCAGAATGCGGGAATGAATGGCAGTATAAAATATCCTGTGATTTGGCACTCAGGCCACAACACAGCTAGTGAAGAAAACAAAACAAAAGATTTGTCAAAGGGGCAATTAAGGTCAGTAAATGCACCACACACCTGAGGCAGAACTAAACATTTCTCTACATCTAAAGTGTAGTTACTTCCATGTTATCTTTATTTTGACTCCAGCAACTAAGAACATGTCACAGCATTCTCCAGTATCTGTGCTGTTAAGTTAGTTCCCCTGTGTCTTCTCCTCACATTCTCCTGGCGGAATTACAGATCCAATTTTACCCGAGTTTACGAGCCTGCCATCAGGCTACGGAAAATAGGTTCAACAGCATCAGTACCAGAAGCTGGTCCCCAGTATTTGAAGTGGAAACAACAGACAGTTCATTGCATTTGACAAAGAGGATGTCAAAGAGAAACAGAAAAAGAGCAGGAAAGACGAGGCAGAGAGAAAAAAGGAGGAAAACATTAAAATTTACGTTAGATTCAAATAAACTAGTCTTGTTCTCAAATACACCTTGAACTAAAAATCTGAATTAGTGAAAACCACCCTAAATATTTCATTGTATTATTCATATCACCCAGTCATATTGAGTTTTTTGCACCAAGTACATCATGTGGGTTTACTTTGAAAACTAGTCTCAAAATGTAAAGAAGTTCTGTTAGGTTATTTAAAAGTCTGACATCCTACATTTGAAGCAGCTATTTTGTTTCTTCTAGGCAATGAACAACACTACATTGAAAGAGAAGGTTACCCAGGCACTGCTGGTTCTATTAACCCACGTTGACAAGTGCTAATCATAGCACTCACACAACAGCATCCTGGGAAAACTACTTCCACTTCACTTTTTTTTTTAAAAAAAAATGATCCCCCTTCTTCATTAGGAGATCAAACAAGCTTTTTTTTTGTGTGTATGGGATGGCAGAATAGTGGAGAGGAAGAGGAGCTGTTGCTGGAATTTCAAAACAATATCATAGGCAGTTCAGTAAAGCAAGTGTTATACAAAATTAAAACAAATTGTACGATATCATCTGCAAGTTCAAAATTTTAAAATGATGCAAAATGAAAAGCTCAGTTCAGTTTTGCTTAATCATAGTTTCTCTCTCACGCACACACACAGCTGTACGTGGGATGTATACATGCTTGGTGTTTAGCTTTTGTTTACCTTTAAATTATAAATGAATGGAGTCTTTCACAAAATGTCTACTCAAAAAGCTCTAATTTATAACCCAAATAAAAAAAAAGTGTCCGTCCAGGTGGGGAAAACATGTAACAAGCACTTTTGGATTTCTCTCTCTGCTTCACCAGAAGTATTCATCCAAGGACAAACGAACATAAACTCCACAATCGAAAAATAAACTTCCCAGAAGCAGAGCTGCTAATATGCAATATCTTTTACCTGAAGCAAAAACTGTGTCCCCTCACGTAAATCTTCTGCATATACTGGTGCATAGAATGCTTTCATTTTGTTTTTTATTAACCACCGTTGGTATTTGGCCTGATCAGTAGCAATTTCCTTCAAAGCTTGTCGACGTGGTCCCTAATGGGAACAAATATGTTGCTTTCATTAAACTGCAAATAATTTTGAAAATAAAAACATGTTTATAAGTATTAGCTCAGAAAGCTTGGGTTTGTCACAAATTGAGCTGGCCTCAGCTAATCAAAATCTTAAAAGAACAAGTAAATTTGAAGTGATAGCAGACTTGAAGAAACCATTGTTCAGAATACATTCAGAATGGAAAGAAGTGGATAGTCCACAGAGTCAGAGTCAATGGGGTTGACCATCAGTAATGCTAGGATGAAGCTGGACAGACACTGGGCCAGTAAATTAACTTGAGTGATACAGGAAATGTGCATTCTGTTTCTGAACTCTGGGACTATGAAGGTGAATCACAATTGCATTCACTAGTCCTATACATGCCTACGTCCCTGCCTTTATGAACAACGCTGCTTCTGTTTTTAAAAACAAATACAATCAAGTTTATTCAAAACTTCTTCCACACAAAGAATTTAAACAAAGCAATGGAATGGAACAGAACAAGAAGAAACTTAAATGTCAGACAATAGATGAAATCTTTGAATATTGTGAAGGAAACTGGCAAATGTCAACTAATGCACAATTCATTTAAAATTATGTGCATCACAAAATGAAATCTTAACAAACCAGGGGGAAAAGTCTTCATCACGTCAACATAAACTGGATGCATCCTGAAATTAAGACCACAAGAAATAGCAACAGGAGTAGGCTGTTCAGCCCTTCAAGCCTGCTCCACCATTCTATAGGATCATGGCTGATCCGACATTTCTTGTATTCACTTTCCTGCTCTTTCTCTGTAACCCTCAATTCACCTCTTGATCAACAATCCATCTATAGCAGCCCTAAATATACACAAGGACTCTGCCCCCACAGCTCTGTGGCAAGGACTTCTATAGACTCTTAACCCCCCAAGAAGAAATTCCTCATGTCAGTCTTAAATTGGTGCCCCTTTTATTCAGAGACTGCACCGTGGCCCTACACTCTCCCACGAGGGGAAACATCCTCTCAGCATTTACTGTCAAGCTCCTCAACAATCCAAGATACTTCAATGAGATCCCTCTCATTCTTCTAAACCCCAGAGAGTAGAGTCCCAACCTGTTTAGCCTTTGCTCATAAGACAATCCCCTCCATACCAGGGATCATCCTTGTGAATCTTCTGTGAACTGCCTTCAACAAAATGAAGTCTTTCCTGAAATAAGGGAACCAAAACTGCTGACAGTGCTCCAGATGTGGTTTTACCAGCACCTTGTACAGTTGCAGTAAGACTTCCCTACTCTTATACTCCAACCCCTTTGAAATAAGGGCCATAATTCCATTAGCCTTCCTGCTGCCAATGTGCTAGCTTTTTGTGTTTTACACACAAGGCCCCTAAGTCCCTCTGTATTGCAGTATTCTGTAGTTTTTCTCCATTTAATATTATTATTTTGCTCTCTTCCAGAGTGAAGAACTTCATATTTTCCCACATCATACTCCATTTGCCAACTTTTTATCCACTTAACCTATCACTACATCTCCGTAAACTGTTTGTATCCCTGTCACAATTTGCCTTTCCATCTATTTTTATGTCATCTGTAAATTTGACTACAGTATAGTCTTCTTCCTTCCAAGTCACTAACATATTGTAAATAGTTCTGGTCCCATTGATCCTTGTGAGACCCCATTGGTCACATGTCACCAACCTGAATCAGAACCCTTTATCTCTCTACTCACTGTTTCCTGCCCATCAGCCAATGCTCTATCCACACCAGTATGCTACCTCCAACACCATGAGCTCACCTTATGATTTGATCACATCAAAATAATTTCAACAAAATATTAAGGTCTCATGAACACTGCACGCCTTGGCATTCACTCAATGACAGCAAACCAATGAAATCTGAAAATCTGCTTTCATTGAGGAAAAAACAGTCAATTTGCCACCTCCTGAACTCACCGTATGAACATGTCCACAGACCACCAGTCCAACATTTTTGGTAAAGGCATGAACTAAATGGAGCAAGGCTGGACGGGATGTAGGAGCACCTGTCATCAATAGGCATTGGGGTCTGCAGAATAGAAAAGTTTAGAGTGTGATAGAGGTATTACATTTGCACCAAACCTTGTGACATATTAAGACATGTACTGGATTTGTAAAATTTCATCCACATGTTCAAATCACAAAAAGAACCTACACCCTTTCTTACATTTGTGACCTCCTCTATCCTTTCCAACGCTGCACAGTCTTCACACTCCCCCCAGTTGTGTCCTCTTGCACATTCTTGGTCTCATCATGCATTGGCTACAAAGGCCAAGAAGTCCCAGAGATCCCTCCTCCTTCAGTACACACAAGGAAAATATACTTCCATGACCTGCCTTAAATATACCTTGTGGCTCAGTCTAAGTTTTTGTTTGACTATATTCTTAGAACGCATCTTGAAACATCCATCTAAAAGATTAACATTTTCTCTCCATAGAAAATGCCCAATATGTTGAATATGTGCATCATTTTCTGTAAATTAAACATTGCCCAGATACAATGTGCCTGCAAAAAGCAAGAAAAACCAATTCACACTATTATTGTCCCATCAGTAACCTCTCAAACTGAAAAATAACAACTCAAGCTTGTCAACAGCACCATCAAGTGGCACTTACTCATCAATAAGCTCCTTGCTAATGCTAGGTTTGTGTCCTGAACTGGCACTCAGTCCCAGATCTCATTACAGTCTTGGTTGAAACATGACTAAAAGAAACTAAATTCCAAAGCAGAGGAGAGTAGAGCATTTGACCATGCGTGTTATCAAGTACTGAAAAACCTGGAACATTGGGATCAAGGGAGAACTCCGTACTGGTCAGAACCCTACATAGCATAAAAGGAAGACTGTTGTCATTGTTGAAGGTTAATCATTTCAGCTCCAGGACATCTCTATAGGAAACCCTCAGGACAGTGTCCCAGGCCACTACCTTCAGTTACCTCAATGATCTTCCTTCATAATAAGTGGGAGTGTTTGATTTGATTTATTATTGCCACATGTACATAGGTACAGAGAAAAGTTTTGTTTTGTGTGCAGTACAGGCAGATCATGCCATACAAAGATCAGAGTAATAGAACAGAGCGAGGAATACAGAGTTACAGCTGCAAAAGAAGGTGCACAAAAAGCAAGACCAACGTTAGATTTGAAATTTGAGAGCTCAGTTCAGAAGTCTAATAAGAGCAGGGAAGAAGCTGTTCTTGAATCTGCTAGTATGCGTGTTTAAGCTTTTGTATTTTCTTTATGGAGTAAGTTGGAGAGATCATTACCAGTGAGGGAGGAGTCTTTGATGATATTGGCTGCCTTTGAGGCAATGAGAAGTGTAGATAGATGGAGTCAATGGATACTTGCATGTTTGTTGATGATCAGTGCTCAGAATCATTTGACTCCTCAGATACTGTCCACATGCAAACAAGATCTGAACAACATTCAGGTTTGACTGGCAAGTTCCAAGTAACATTTAGTACAAGTAGCAAGCATTGACCAATGACAGAATTTAACCATCTCCCTCAGATATTCAAGCGCATTCCCACCGATCTCAGTTTGTGGCTTACTTTTCTTCAGAAACTGAATTGGCCAACCCACAAACACTGTGGCTACAAGAACAGGTCAGAGACTGAGAATTCCATGAAATATTGCTTACCTCCAAACTCTCATAGCCTTTCCAAATCAACAACGCACAAGTCCGGCATGTGATGGAACACACCTCACTTTCCTGGATAAGTGCACTTCCAACATTCAAGATGCATTACACCATTTAGGATAAAAGAGCATGACCTCCAATTTTCACTCCCTCCACCATGGAGCTCAGTAGCAGCACTGTATACCCATCTGTGTTTCAGCAGCTCAGAGTCCTTTGACAGTACCTTCTAAACCCATCACCTCTATACTCAATTAATTAAGAATAAGCCCAAGAATAAAGAAAACAAAATTCAACAATAACCTATTCTCTAACATTCAGCTTGGGTTCTAAAAGCACCATTCAGAGTCCAAACTCAGTCCAAACTCAGTCCAAACTCAGTCCAAACTCAGT